CTCACTATTTGGCAAGAGGACTAAGTCTTATATTGGCTACTTAGATTACTTCGTCTTCATCGACACAGGCTCACTATTTGGCAAGATGACTAAGCCTTATATTGGCTACTTAGCTTACTTCGTCTTCATCAACACAGGCTCACTATTTGGCAAGAGGACTAAGTCTTATATTGGCTACTTAGATTACTTCATCTTCATCAACACAGGCTCACTATTTTGGCAAGAGGACTAAGCCTTATATTGGCTACTTAGATTACTTCATCTTCATCAACACAGGCTCACTATTTGGCAAGATGACTAAGCCTTATATTGGCTACTTAGCGAGAATCAACTCAGTGCGCAACAGATACCAAGGATGCTGGCTGATGAAGGAGACAAAGTAAGCTAGGTAGCCAATATAAGACTTAGCAGTACAGATACATGTGGGCTCACTATTTGGCAAGCAACCGGTCACAGTTGCCCTGTTCATCTCATGTCTTATAAAAGCGTATTAATGATTTATAAAGTGTTCACAACCTAATTAATAAATGAATTACAAACTACTCGTAAACCCTTTATACGGGTAGTCTTATTGTAAAGTGGTACCCAATTTGTTTTTTCTTAATTTGGGATTTTTTTTGTCCAAATGTCAATTTTTGTCTGATAAGTATTTTTTTCCTCGTAATGTATTTCCCAGAAAAGTAGCATTTTATAAATTTCTTTTTTTCATGTAAATTTGCGAATTTAATCTCAGAAAGTCTGTAATATTTAAAATCTCAGATAATATTACACTTTTTTCTCCAAAATGTGGGATTTTTTTCTTTTCAATCGTTGAACAATTTTACGAAAAAATTTTTATTTCAGATTTTTTTTTTCTAACAATTTTCTTATTTATAATATTTTTTTAAATATATATTTTTTATTAAATGTTTAACTTTATAATATCAGAGACAATTTAATTTCTTTCCTACAACATTTGAGCATTTTTTTCTAACGTATCTATAACTTTAAAATGTGAATTTTCAATATTTATTTCCTAATTTATTTTTTTTATTTTTTTTGTACATTTTGGAATTTTTATCCTGGAAATGTGTTTTTTCTAGAATTTAAATGTTTTAAACACCGCGTGTGTTTCTGTTCTCAGGTGCGATCACAGCTGTGGGCTCATTTTCTCTGAAAGCAAACGAACTCCTGCAGTGAGTTCACCCATTACTGTTCTTATTACCCGTCTTCTCAAACCATAAGCATGTTATTATGTAAATATCATCTCTGCCTTTACTCCAACTCTCAGGGTGATAGACAAGAGCATGAAGAACTTTAAAGCCTTTTTCCGCTGGTTGTACGTCGGTAAGAATAAAAGTGACCGTCGTGCACGAGTTACTGATCCTGATATACAGACATTAATTATAAATAAGGTTGTATTGATTGTTTCTGCAGCCATGCTGAGGATGTGTGAGGAGCACGTTCCTCCAGAGCTCAACAAGGTGAGTCATCAGAGCCGCTGAGACACAGATGTGATTTCATAAGTGATAATAAATCATTATAACGCGTTTTATTCCTCGTAGATGACCCAGAAGGATATTGCCTTCGTGGCTGACTTCCTGTCGGAGCACTTCAGTGAGGTGAGCTCAGCATGACGTCACCGTGGTGGAAATTAAAACATCTCTTTAAAGTGATTTTAACTTGTCTCTGCTTCAACAGAACGAAGAGCTGTTTGATCGCAAAGGGAAATACTTTAACGTGGAGCGAGTGGGCCAGGTAGGAGTTCTGTGTGTGTTGATTAGCTTTAAAGGTCACCTGTCAAGCAAAATGCACTTTCTGATGTCTTCTCTACATCACCATGTGTCCCCGGTGTGTCAGGAGACTCACATAGTGATGTCTTCTCTACATCACCATGTGTCCCCGGTGTGTCAGGAGACTCACATAGTGATGTCTTCTCTACATCACCATGTGTCCCCGGTGTGTCAGGAGACTCACATAGTGATGTCTTCTCTACATCACCATGTGTCCCCGGTGTGTCCCTGTGTGTCAGGAGACTCTCAAAGTTTCAGGAAATAAACCCTCTCTCTTCTCCTCCGTACCCACATCTCTAAAAACGGGGGAACAACGGAGCTGATCCAGATTTGCTGCGTCATGACCACATTACTAAAATGTGGGCGGGCTTTACACCAATGGGCCAATCACAAAGGTTGCTGTCAGAAACAATGAGACGTGTTCTGAAGTAATATGGTCTGTGTACATTAGCATGCTAACACTCAGAGCTAACCTGTACTGGAGAGAGTGTGTGTGAAGAAGCAGGAAATCAAAAGGAAGTCACCTTGTGGTAAAACTGAGAGAGAGAAAGAGTTTGAGCTCCATCCTGTTTCAGAGAGAATCCTTGATGTGGTTTGGAACATGATGTGGAGTTTCATCACGGCAGCTACTGACCCAGAGTCAGCTCTTTAGTAACAGCTGGAAGAGAGGGGGGTGAGGCTACAATGATCTGTTTGGTGTTTGGAGCAAAACACTTCAGAGACATGTTTTTTTATATATTTCTGAGACCTATAATATATTCCTAAAAATAGTTTAATAGGAGACCTT